GGCCTGGGCCGCATCCCGCCACCCCGACCGCGTGAGCCTCCGCCCCACCGCGCCGCACCCCTCAGGGAAAGGAATGTGCCCGGTACCCGCTGCAGAGCCCAGCGTCCGCCGCTGCCGCCACGGCAGGCCCTCGGCCCAAGTCCCGGCCTCGCCGACGCCGCCACAGTCGGCCGGCCCAGAGCTCCCAGCCTCCTCTTCCCTCCCCGCCCCCTCCTTCCCCGCACTCGGAAGCCCGTCCGCCGTGCCCGCCCCTCAAACAGCTTCTCCAATCACTGAGCTCAGGCTGCGGCAGTCGCCGGATGTCGCTCTGATCGACAAAAGAGAGCGCCCAATAGCTGAGCGAGCTTTCTCCGTATCGGTCAAAATCGACATGCCCATGGCCCAATGAGTGTTTATGCCCGCCCCACAGCTTGGGCCCACCAATGGATACGGCGAAGGCCCTGCTGTCCAGCCTTCCGGACCCTTCGGCTGCGCGTTCTTGCCAGGTGGTTGCAGGTGCAGTCCTTTCTGCGACTGCAGATGGGACCCGGAGGCTTGGGACGGAAGGCGGTGTGACAGGCGCTGGAGTGTGGGGTGCCCCTTTGAGGGTTCCCACCGTGACTTGCAAAAGCCCAGCGAGGCGCACAGTGGGCCGAGACAAGGCACCGAGCATGTGGTTCTCGTGGTGGCGACGCTCGTCCCGCCATCTTGGGTGCTGGCGACGGGAACCCGGACAGGGCTTTCTCGCCTGTGGGCCTGGTGCGGCATCTGGGCGGGGACGGCAGCCCTCGCTTCTTGGCCCAGGCAAAGGTCACTTCGAGGGAACACTTGTGGACGCGTTGTCAACAGTGTTGCCGGGTCCGTGGGTTTTTGTGTTTTCTATCAGAAAGTAGCACGAAAACAAGGTTTTATTTTTTTACATTTAATTTATTTTTTGAGACAAGGTCTCACTATGTAGTTCAAGCTGATCTTGAGCTCACTGTGTAGCCCCGGCTGGCCTTGAACTCGTGGCGATCCTCCTGCCTCAGCCTCCTAAGTGCTGGGGGGCACTATACTCAGCAACCCTTTTTCTTTCTTCTTCTTCTTTTTTTTTTTTTTTTTAAAGACAGGGTCTTGCTATGTAGCTCCTGCTGGCCTTGAACTCACAGTGATCCTCCTGCCTCAGACTCCCGAGTGCTGGGCCAATTGTATTCTTCAGCTTTTGTGGCATCTACAGGATAGGCAGGGCCTCACTCCAGTAGAGGTGGCGTTGTAATTATACCTGGGCTCTTTACCATGCCTCTTCTTGGTAACATCTTAAGTCTCCACTTCTGCATATGATTTTCAGTATGCTAAGAAAGTAAAGTGTAGGTTACTTTACTGAACATTCTACTCACGGATTTGTCCCTTATGACCTGGAGTTTGTCCTTTATCCTAATGGGGGATTTTTTTGATGTTTTGTTGTTGTTGTTACCGGGAATCGAACTCAGAACCTTGCATTTGCCAAGCAGGTGCTGTACCCCTGAGCTACATCCCCAGCTCCTAATTGGGCTTTGGAGCAGAGCAGATCATTCCCATGGCTCAGGTGGGTATGACTTTGACTTTGGTTTTTGTGGTTTTCCTTTTTTGGTTTGGTTTGCTTCCTGGTATCCCCACTAACCAGGTGGGTGGTCTTCAAAGGCTGGGACAGGTCCCCTGGAAGACTGCCCCACTTTTACCTCCTGATTTTCCAGTATGTCTGTTAACTCCAGAGCTGCAGGCCAGACTTGCTGCCTCACAACAGTGCTGGGGTGTCAGGGACAAGATAGGGCATAATAGGCGTTTTTTGTCCTCATAGAAATAGCCAACAAAGACCCCCCCCATGTCCCTAATCTGCCCCACAGAACTTAATCTTGCATTTAGGAACTTTCTTTACATTCCAGAGCTCCCCAGGCCCATCTGGCCATATTACCCAAATATGATGGTGACTAAAACCATGTAACCCAACGTCACTGGAGGAGCTTGGTAGACTTACAGATTCTAAGGGTGTCACTAAGTGGCCCAGGCTGGACTCAAGCTTAAGATCCTCCTGCCTCAGCCACTCCTTGAATGCTGGATCACAGGATTGGGCCACCAGTGCACCCACTCCTGGGGAGACTGAGATTGTGAAACAGTGAGGCTGCAGTTTGATAATACACCAGTTTGAGCCCTTCTAGTGCAGCCCATAAGACCACATGTAAATCACCAAGTTGGAGTTTGTACTTTGGCTTCCAGCCATGGGACAAAGAGGTGCCAATTCAAATTCCTGTCACCTGGAAAAGCCCATAATTTTATGAGTGACTCATTGTCCTTGCATAATTAAGGACCGGGCCAAGTGACAACTCGCCAAATAACCTAGTCCATGCCAGCCGGGCTGGTGGCATAGGTCTCCCAGCACTGCAGAGGCTGAGGCAGGAGGATCACAAGTTGGAGGCCAGCCTGGGCAACTTAGGTACTGTCTCAAGAAATAAAAAGGGCTGTACAAGTAACACAGTGGTTGGAGGGCTTATCTAGCATGCCAGAGGCTGTTCCATACCCAGTACCAGAAAAGGGAAAAAAGAAAAGAAAAAAAAAAAAATTTCTTTTTTCCTGATCAAAACCAGAATACTCTACAAGAACTAGAATTTTATGCATTAACTGTTGTTTGTAGAATGGGGGGGCACAAATTTTCTCTGTGTAGCTCAGGCTGGCCTCGAACCTCCTGGCAATCCTCCTGCCTCATTCTCCAAAGTACATGACAGGTGTGTGCCACCACACCCAGTGCCCACGGAATTTAGGTGACATGCATACTAAATCAGGGCTGGGGATATAGCTCAGTGGCACAGTGCCTGCCTGGCAAGCGAAAGGTTCTAGGTTCGATTCCTGGTACCAAAAAAATACTAAATCATTGAAAGGGGGCTACGTTTGTAGCTCAGTTGGGGCGTGCTCGCCTAGCATGCAAGAAGCCTTGGGTTTCACCCTCAACACACAATGGGCACTGGTGGCCCAATCCTGTGATCCAGCATTCAAGGAGAGGCTGAAGCAGGAGGATCTCAAGCCTGAGCCCAGCCTGGGCCACTTAGTGACACCCTTAGAATAATAATAATAATAGTAATCAAAGGGGGAGCCAAGCAGCTCAGTGAATGCCAGGCACAATGAGCATGCCTGTGATCCAAGTACCCAGAGGCCAAGGCAGAAGGGTCATGGGTTCAAGGCCAGCTGGGGCTACATAGCCAGCCTTGTCTTGGAAAAAAAAAAGTTCCTGTTAAAGCTGAACAGATAAGGGGCTGGGGACCTGGCAAGCGCAAGGTCATGAGTTCAATGCCTGGTACCTGAAAAAAAAACAAAAAAACAAACAAAAAAAAAAAAGCTGAACAGATAAATAAAAAGGCCAGGAGTGTCACTGCTAGAGTGCACTGCCCAGGTTCTAAAGGCTGTGGGGGCATAACCTCCAGCACAGGCCCAGGAAAGGAAAGAAAAGTTCTAGGCAGAAATTAAGCGCACCTCGCTGGGCATGGTGGCACACGTCTGCAACCCCAGCACTCAAGAGACCGAGGCAGGAGGATTGCCATGAGTTCCAGGCCAGCCTGAGCTACACAGGGAGACCCTGTCTCCAAAAAAAAAAAAAAAAAGGAAAGAAAGAAAAAAAAAGTTAAGCTCTCCTTAAAAGGGATGTGGTTCTGGAGAACATGGCAAGTTACCAAGGAAATAAAACATTCAGGCACTTAATTACTGAAACCATGAAGATAAATAGTGCTACCAGTTAAGAAAGGACAAAAAACCAGGCAGGGGACTGAGGCAGGAGGATGCCTTAAGCCTAGGACTTGGAGAGATCAGCCTGGGCAACAGAGCAAGCACCCATCTCAAATATTTCTTTTTTTTTTTTTCAGGTAGTGTTTCACATGAAAAAGCCCAAGCTGCCCTTGAATTCACAGGCGATCCTCCTGCCTCAACTTTCCAAGTGCTAGGAATAACAAGCATACACCATCATGTCTGGCTCCATCTCAGATATTAAAAAAAAAAACCTTAAAAATAGTAAGTACATAGCCAGGCGTGGTGGCATATGCCTATAATCCTAGCACTTGGGAGAGGCTGAGGCTAGAGGATCCCCGTGAGTTTGACCCCAGCCTGGGCTACATAGTGAGTTTAAGACCAGCCTGAACTACATATCAAGACCCTGTCTCAGACAAACAAACAAACAAAAAGGGACCAGGGATATAGCTCAGCAGCGCAGGGCCTGCCTGGCAAGCACAAGGTCCTGAGTTCAATTCCAGTGTACCAAAAAGGAAAGTATATATATGTGGGGGACGGGAGAGGTGCTAGAGCCAGGTCTGATGGCCAAGACACGAGGATCACAAATTTGAGCCCAGCCTGGACAAGTTAGTGACTTAGGGAGATCCCATCTCAAAAAAAAAAAAAGGGGGGGGATGCTGAGGGTATAGCTCAGTGGCATAAGCGCCTGCTTGGCAAGCGCAAGGTCGTGAGTTCAATCCCTGGTACTGCAAAAAA